TGTTCATTGCAGAGAAGAGCTGACTGATTCACTGACCACCTTGGCAGCTTCAGTAGCCTGGAAGGATATCAAGTCAAATTGGACATGGAGACTGTTGGGGATTCTGATTTGTAAATTTTCTATTCATGTGTTGTTGTTGTTAAGTGTCATCCAGTCAGTTCTGACTCATAGCAACCCTGTATAGGGTTTCCAAGGAGTGGCTGGTGAGTTTGAACCACCGACCTTGCGGTTCAAACCAACTTTGCAGTCTGACGCATTAGCCCACAGCATCACATTACGATCCATGTGCATACCTCCAAACCAGTATGGGACCAGGAGCTCCATCAAAGAGCAGTTCTAAATCAGTTTGGACACAAAAGTCATATTTAAAAACCCGTTACCTTCAAATCAATTCTAACTCATAACAATTGCATGAATGTCGGGCAGTGTAGTGTTGTGCTCCACAAGGTTTTCAGGAGCTGATTTTTCAGAAATCGATCATGAGCCCTTCCTACCGAAGCATCTTTGGGTGGATTTGAACCTCTAACCTTTCATTCCGCTGCCTAAAGCCAAGTTGCCATCCCCGAGAGCTTGAGAGGTAGAACTGAAGCCCACTCAGAATTCCAAGTCCACAGACAACAGCCAGGACAGGGTCATTGCCCAGGCAGTCTCAGAGAAGAAAGGGTTCTTTTCCAGCCTGAAGAGCCTTGGTGGCACTGTAAGGTAAGCACTGGACTGCTGACTACAAGGTTGGCAGTTCAAACCACTAGCTGCTCTGAGCCAGAAAATTAAGGCTGTGTGCTTCTGTAAAGATTTAGTTTCAGAAACCTTTTATCGGGTCACTATGAGTCAGGTTGAGGACTAAGGTGCGCCTGACCCAAGCCATGGTATTTTCAATACCCTCATATGCATGCGAAAGCTGGACAGTGAATAAGGAAGACCGTAGAAGAATTGATGCTTTTGAGTTATGATGATGGAGAATATTGAAAGTGCCATGGGCTGCCCAAAGAACCAACAGATCTGTGTTGGAAGAAGTGCAGCCAGATGCTCCTTGAAGGCCACGATGGCCAAACTTCGTCTCTCATGCTTTGGACATATTGTCAGGGGGGACCAGTCGCTGGAGAAGGATATCATGTTTGGTAAGGTGGAGGATCAGAGAAAAAGAGGAAGACCCCCAACGAGATGGAT